AAAGAAAAGAACCTTCAATGTTCGTTATAGAAGAGAGAGAAAGCTATCACAGTAGAGCTTTTTTACAGTAACAGGCTCTAAGTCCGCGCCCAACGTTTCCATTCGCAAAGTGAAGAATATGGTTACAAAAGAGAACCTTCCGACCCAATAAGTCATTTGCAATAAAGATGGGCATATCTCCTAATATCTTTAACAAAATAATAAATAGGGATTTAAAATCCATGAAGGCTCACAAGCCAAAGTTTCAAAAGATTCCAGCTACACAAATTATAGGTTGTTTTTGTTTACGAAAGAAAAACTGAAATCACGGCAACTTCATTCGGCTACATGCTTGTCAATCTCCACAACAGTGAACTTTACGTTCCCTTATTTAACATGGCTTTAGAAGTCGACGTCCATGTAAAAAGTCTGTGGGTCGTCAAGACCTGTGTTGTAAGAATGGCGTCTCCATCCTTCGCATAAGCTATTACAGTGGAAACTCTGATGTTGTGTAATATTGTTTAATCATGGTCATCAAACAGAGCAAGACAAAGAATGGAGTAAGTAGTTTCAGGGGTATCATGGGACCTGGAACATCGTTCTTTGTTCGATTAACCCTTAACAAACCCCTAAACGTAAAGTAGCAGCATACACATACAACCTCGAGAATCTCTCCGTTATATAAACAAACCCAACATCTAACGTCATTGCTTGACAAAGTTTAATCCATAGTTCAGCCCAACCAAGGGAAGTCTACTATAAATATATATGTATATCACGTCATTACTGCAGATTAACCCACAACTATAATATCAGTTTTGTCCTATCTAGGTTAGATAAGAAAACTACAATAAACAAGATTTAAAACTTTTATTTTCAGTATTCTTTCCGCAATATCTAAATGTTTACTTCCTACTTTCATACGTGGTTTCTTTGTTTGTAGCAACATGTTACGATAGCTAAAGTGGCTGGAAAAAAAGTGTTTACTTTCATTTAACGATTCCAAACCTACTAAGAGCAGCATTACTCTTTCGTTCTTGTAGTTTTAAATTTACATCTTAAGTATTTACTTCTTACATCTTTTTTTTTTTCTTATCTAAAACTGTGAAAATATAAACTCGTCCTTTTGACTTTGATATAATTTTAATTCTATCCTATTTAATAGCAGCGAAAAATACTTGTTTTATTAATCTATCACATCAACCTTGGCTGAATGTGTACGTGGTACAAACAGCTGTTTGGAGAACATATATTGTTTTCTATCGCAAGTCACTACGCAGGCGTTGATCTAACCTATCAAACCGGTTCAAGGCCTCTATGTTTTGAGTACTTGGATTGAATAACAGGGGTCTTCGTTTAAGTACAAACACTTTCAATTCTATAGTTTATTTACTACCGCCAATATTAAAACGTTAGAAAGGCGTTTAAGTATAGTTCAAAACTAAGAGAAGTGGCAAAACAAAAATACTGTAAACTTTACATTCATAGACATGACCCTGAACATGGAAGTGGGATCAATAAAACTCCCCCGCGAAGTGTTTAGAATCATTAAATACTACCGTTAGGGAGGGAGGAAGAAGTCTAGTTAGCACCTGACCCTCCCAGCACGCGCACACAACACGATCGACCACCGATCCGATATACCGCGAAACGATTAGTTTAAGTTGTGTTTGAAAATATGGAAAAATCCCTTAACGAGAATTTAGAGTTGTTTCAAGGGCACTGTTTAAGTCGGCTAAAAACATCGCACAACATTCCCAGCAAGGTTATTGAATACGTCATAAACAAGCTTTCGTCACTCAACCAATCCCCCTTTCCATTCCCAAGAAGAAAATGTAATAATGTCCAACTGAAAATTAATTGTAAGTTTTCACAGTCAGAATAAAATATATTATCATTAATCAAAACAAATTAATAACTTAACATAGAAAATCACATTCTAAATAAATATAGATTTTGTGTGTGCTGTGTTTTTTGCCAAATGGAAAAAGTTACAATTAAGCAGGGCTACAAAGCCAATTCTGTGATAGTTCAGCGACTACAACAATACACAGGGTTAAGTGAAGAAAAACAACTACAAACTCTAACAAGATGTAACAGTAGGTGAAATAATATTTTGAATTAAAAGAAAACAAAAAGGTATAAACTGTATCCAAGACATAATACAATGTAGCAACTACAACATGTATATAAGGTTAAAACAAAACGTAATAGCTAGTGCAACAATGCACAAGGTTTAAAGAAATCAAAGCTACAAACTACTTAAAACATTACAGCAGCTACAACAATACTAGCTTATGACAGATCACACAAAACTGTTCCATCATGAAAGTATTGTTTAATAATCATATGAAATATGGCTTCCCACTCTAGAAAAGTAAACCTAATTTTATTGTTGGAAAATTATTTTGTTCCGAGTCATTTTCATTAAAATTTCTCTTTCCAACTGTAATGTAGAATGTTTACATAAAACCATGTACTTAACTTCTGTCTAATTGTTATTGCATTATGTAGTGTATTGAAGTAAATAAAAGAATGCACTACTTATGAAAGAATTAAAAACATTTCTTTAGTTTTATTTAATTAAGTTTTACAATAGCCAAGCCCTCCAAAAACTCACTTAGTAATACAAGTGTATATCTATCAACCAAAACAAAGCAGTAGAAGCTTTGAACTATATATATACAGTCTTTTATTTTAACACAACAATTAAACTTTAAGACTAGTATGAAATTCTTTAATTAGTATTTGTTTTTGTAACAAGTAGTTCCTTGCAAAAACAACTGAAGATAGGCTGATAAATAGAACTTAAATGTAACAATCCAGATGTTCATGTTTATCAATATATAACAAAGTGACTACTCAACACAAGCACATCAGTGAAGAAACAGCATCAAGTCAAACCATTTCACAATATGTATTTAATAATCAAGTACAGTTAACAAAACATTTTACATAATATAGCTTAACATATGTATGTACATAAGTTACAGCACATGTTTGTCTCTACACATTTTTCTACTACTTCATAATGAGGTAAACTAAATTTATAGACTGGAAAACATCTTTAGAAATGTGCAAGTATATGAATACATATATTTAAATATGCTTATAAACATATCTACAGAAACCCAAGCCCTATGATTGCAGGAGCAGTTAACAGAAAAAACATAACCGATATTGTGTGAATTCAAACATACCTATTCAGAAAAGTTCTTTTCTCCATCCAGTACTTGATAAATTAGTAATCTCTTGTACATTTGTGTATTTACACAGCACATATTTTTTATAATCACAATAAACCTATTTTAAATGTAGAATCTGACATCTACAATATACAACAACTACAAGTATCAAATCTGTTTCTCAATATACTGATGTTCTTTTTCACATAATTATTCAGGATAACTTTAGCTTGAAACACATCATTAATTAGTATATTTATGTATATGAAAGGCACTATCATGCTGATGGCTTCTAAATGGCCAAGTGTCGCTTTCATCATAATTGCGATAGGAACCTGTTTGACATTTTCAATCTGTTAATTTTCCATCTTTGTAGTGATTAAACTTCCAGGATTACATAAATACTGATCCAATCACAATTTAACCAGACGTGCTATGCATAACCTCATTCAATGTGAAATGAAATGCAATAATAAAAATTAACAAGTCTCATTATCTTCTGAAAGTATTACTGTATTATACAACATTTAAGCAACTATTGAAAAGTGAAAACCCAGCAATATTTGAAGCATGCTGAAAGTTTTTCTAACACCCAGTTCTATCTATTGGTCACATACTGGTTTGTAAGCAGAATATTTCAATTGCACATAAACACGAGGTAACAAGTTTTCCAAATATGTCAAAACTGCCTCTACATGTATACAGTTAACAGCCATCAGATATATTACTAATGCACTCCAAATTTTCACACTCTACAAGTAAAGTTTCAGCAACATGACATCAGGATTATTTATTTTTGACCTGTGGTATATTTCTAACCATTGTGCAACAGAAGTGACTATGAACTGGAAGACTACAGGTTCCTAATGGGTAGTCTACATTCTGGTTTAACATGTAGTTGTAGATATTTACACTGTGCTTTAGTTTCTACTCTACCTTCTGGCCTGTTATGCAAACACACAAAACATTGGTACGGCATACTGTGACAATAATATATTACAAAAATCAAGTGAAAACGACTGTGGGTCGAAATAACTTACTGATAGTTTATAGTTTAATTATTTGAGTATAGTTACAAATACAAGTGTAAGTACAGAACATATTTGGTGCCTGTTACAAAAAATTGTTATGTACAAATTCACAAGCACGAAGATCTTTTAATTCACATAGAAAACACTTTTGAAATATTGATCATTCAGGAAGACAAGCTTGCGAAACAAGGACTTTATCAATAGCATCAATACTTAACTGTGTTTCATACTCTTACAGTTCAGCTGAGAAGTCCAAATTCTAGAATCAACAATCAACTAAATGCCAACCAACAATCTAGTAACTACAACTATACAGTACACAGACATATGTATACGCTATGTTCGTAATTAAGATCACACAATTAACTATACCATAAACAATAATTTTGATACTATGATACAAAAGAAAATCTACATATACTTTCTGTATTCATATTACATGCAAGGTTTCAAAAAATACCAGAAAAATTTTCAATACAAGAGTTTTTTCAAAAACTCGTAGGAAGCATTTATAATTCCCCACGAGACAAAAGCACGTGTGTAATTTACATGCACACCATAGAATAACTTTCTCAAACTGCAGCCTCTTTCATAATAGGTTAGAGCAAAAGCCTCACTGAAACTTAGGAATCGTGTTCCGCACTGAACTTGCATCTTAGCTTTGATTACGTTAACAGGATAAAAGAGCGTGCTGATTAATGCTCCAACTACGGCTCCACTAATAAAATCCTTCAAGATACGTCCGAAACACGTCTGACTTGGTGGCAGTTTTTCTTTAATTTTTCCCCTAAATTCAAAAAATAACATATTGCTAAATCCATTTCTTATCAGGATAGGGGTCAAACCTCGGAAGTACTCCTTCACTCCAAACTTCTTGATTTCCCACAAAGCGTGGAAGGTGTTATGAAAGCGATTGTGATACTGGCGATCCTGAAGCAGAGTTTGTATCCTTTCAAACGGCATTAGCAAAGCTTCTGTTGTACCAGCTAGTACAGCCGAAATACTTAAACAAACGAAGGGAGAAACCGATGGTACATTGTGCCTGATGTACCGACTGTACTCGTTGTACGTTCCAAACATGATGGAGACCGAAACTGTTTTCTGAATCAGAGGAGGAAGACATCCCCGGTACAAGTAATGCAGACCATCTAGTTTCAGCTGCTGTACGGCAGCATACATGTGAACTCCGTCAAGCATCTGTCTGAAAATCACTTTGTTGATTGGAAATGTGAGAGAGATGTTGATGAATGCTGCACCCCAGCCACAGAAAAACTCCTTAAAGTCTTCATGGTGGCTAACACTTGAATGCAGACTCTGGGGGATGGACAAGTGACGTCCATGAAGGTCACTCGTCACACAAGTCTGTGCTGTAGCTGCCATGTTAAGTTGGCTGAATAAAATAATTCTAAATTGTGCACTTATTCAGCCAGTGCATCCAAAGCTGACAGAAAAAATAATAAAGGAAATATATTAAACATGAGTTCAAAGAAGTTATCTGCTATCATAAATATTATTCAATCCTATACATACATTAAATGCTAAACATTAAAACATTCTTTACCTGTTTCTGACACCTCTTGCACTTTCTTCATTAGGAAGTGAATAAAGTTTAACTACTCTATAACATATGGACAATAAATGACATTTGGTCCCCTGAGAAAACAATATATTTAAAACCACCATTTACTTTTCAGCAAATCATTGATTCCCCTCTTAAACCTTTATAAAGTACCAGCCTTCAATACCACTAATGATCTTAAATCCTAATAAAGTACCAACCTTCAATACCACTAATGGTCTTAAACCCTAATAAAGTACCAGCCTTCAATACCACTAATGGTCTTAAACCCTAATAAAGTACCAGCCTTCAATACCACTAATGGTCTTAAACCCTAATAAAGTACCAGCCTTCAATACCACTGATGGTCTTAAACCCTAATAAAGTACCAGCCTTCAATACCACTGATGGTCTTAAACCCTAATAAAGTACCAACCTTCAATACCACTAATGGTCTTAAACCCTAATAAAGCACCAGCCTTCAATACCACTAATGGTCTTAAACCCTAATAAAGCACCAGCCTTCAATACCGCTAATGGTCTTAAACCCTAATAAAGCACCAGCCTTCAATACCGCAATGGTCTTAAACCCTAATAAAGCACCAGCCTTCAATACCGCTAATGGTCTTAAACCCTAATAAAGCACCAGCCTTCAATACCGCTAATGGTCTTAAACCCTAATAAAGCACCAGCTTTCAATACCGCTAATGGTCTTAAACCCTAATAAAGCACCAGCCTTCAATACCACTAATGGTCTTAAACCCTAATAAAGTACCAGCCTTCAATACCGCTAATGGTCAATAAACCCTAATAAAGCACCAGCCTTCAATACCACTAATGGCAATTCATTCCATACACCAGTCATCCTGTTAGAAAACTCTTAACTGGAGCCTAGCCTATCTTTTCCAAGTCTTAAACTTGTGTCTTCACTGGCATTGCAATGAAGTGAGGTTGCTGAGACTTTTAAACAAAATCAAAACCCCAGTATATGATAGGAACCATGTCAGACCAAGAGGTATTTTCATACCCTCAACACCAGCAGTTCCAATGGTTTTGTCCTCTTGTATATAATATCTCCAGAATACAGCACAAAGAAATCAGAGGTCTTTATCCTATCAATCCCCCCCCCAGACAACCTTGTAAACTTCAGCAAGATCGCCTCTTATCTTTATTTTCTCAAGAGGTAATACAAGATCTCAACATATCCTTATACAAAAAATCCTTCCATCCCTGACTCAATGCAGTTTGCTTTATAAATTAGGTTGATACATCAGTTTGTTTGTTTTGAAGTTAAACAGAAACTATACAATGGGCTATCTGAGCTCTGCCCACCACAGGTATCAAAACCCAGTTTCTATTGTTGCAAGTCCGAAGATGTACTGCTGTGTCACTGGGGGACATATCAGTCTTCATAGGAAGACAAAAATAACAACACAACTTAAACAATGTAAATAACCTTTTTTATTTTTATTTACACTGTTTATAATTCCCATTACTCAGTATTGAAAACTACAGAAAATATACAATGCAGCAAGGTTTTACCCTCATATTCCATCAAATTATGTTTCAATTAAAAGTGAGAATAGACATGAATCTTAAAGTATTAAAATAAACCAATAGGTATTACAAATCATTGATATTGCCTCACCACTGAAATATATAGTTTTCCTTTCTAAAAAATCAAGCAGAATACTTCTATAAAAGATTATCAACCTAATTCAAAACACTTCATACAACCTTGAAGGATTTTATCTACTGTAGTAGATGGGGAAAATAAGAGATAACTACATACAGTTACAGATAAAATATCTTAGCATAATATTTTCTGATATAATTTATCATTTCATTCTAAATGTAGTTATGGTACATCATTAGAACTCTACTGAGAAAGCTAGTTGACTGAAGGTATTAATAAGCCTAATGTAAAAGCCAAAAAGTATACAAAAAATGGTAAATTCTTTGGTTTTATCTTTATACACCCTTGAGTTTAGTGATGATCCATTAAAGGAGTCGTGCAAAATTACTACTGATGAAAATATTCACTTTGAGATTTTGTTCTGTTACGTAAATGATACTCAAGAGCAGGGGGTCTCCAAACCTTTTTGGACAAGGGGCGGTAGGTAGATCTTTTTAGGCTTCGCGGGCCGGAGGGGGTCGTGGTAAAATTAAGTAGGGATGCGTACATGATCAGAATACAACATCACTAATTTATTTCTCATAAGAGCACATACTGAAAATATTTAAGATGCAATACTAAGTAATATAACATTTTCCAGCAAATAGAAAAGTGTATCGCACCTAGAATGGCTTTTGCTCAATTATGTTTTATTTTTTGTTTTTATAATATTAAAATATTATATTATTACTTTAATAAACTGTTGGTGGGCCGGACAAACCGAAGTCACGGGACGTAGTTTGGTGACCCCTGCTCTAGAGTATGAAAAGGCCTAAAGAGCATGCTACTCAAACTATAGGATCAATCTCTTATAATAAAAAATAATACTTGATATGCTAATCTAGTACAAATTAATAAAAAGAGCATCTACTATTTCACAGTGATTTCTCAGTCAGTTAGAGCTTGCATGTAATTAATGTTCTATGCAGTGACATACTTAATTAAAGTAACTACATTTCAATTTCTCATGATTTTTAAACATGGCTGTGATGCTACTAATTTCCTAGAACTGTGGGTGCATAGAGCAAAGTAAACTCAAAATATTAAATTTAAAGTGAGAGACTTAACCTGTTTAAAAAAATGGAACTATGGTCTGTATAAAGTTAATGCACTGAATGACCAGCACTTTCTAGAAACATTACTACAGACTGAAGACAATTCTATAGAAATTAGTTCTGTAAGTGTGTATGAGTAATTCCATTAAAAAGAATTCTAACAGTCAAAAGCAAAGTAATAGCTATATGTGCTGTCTCACAGAAGTTATCAGTAGGGCCTAGAACAACAAAAACAGAGAACGTAAATACCAATCAACTTACCAGGCCAGCAGTGTGATATATTTAGTTAAAATGATACCTTCAGGCAAGTGACTTGCTAAACTCAATGATGGAATCTAAGATTCCAGAAAATATTGTATTACCTATTTCTGGTTAAGACTTGATTCAGTTGTAGAAACTTCTTAGGACATTGCTATTCGGGCATGAACTACCAATAGTATATCATTTACAAATTGACAAAGGAAATGGAGGTAAGGAAATACATATTTTCTGTGAATATTGTAGAGAGTTAAGAGTTTAACCTACATGCATGTTCAAGCTCTTAGTGAGGCTTATCAGTCTGTAAAAGCAAAAGAAGCTGAATCATTAATATTCCTCGAAAACAGTACGATCACTAGATAAAAATTTACGCTTATCATGACAAACATTATTTTGGCAACTGTACAAGTTCATTATCTCAGGCAATATATAAAACATCCAACTTGTAAACTAATAATGGTGTATGCATGAATAATCATGCTCCACTAAGAGTGGATTCTAGTAAATGAAAGGATCAGTGTACACACGACAATCTCCTAAACATGAGTGTTCTAAATTCATAGAAAAAACAATAACAGCAGTGGTTGAGGAGAAATTCCTTCAACCAAATCTATACAGGCTCAGCCCACTGTACTGACCCAGTATTGTAGAAGGAATATTGACTACACAAAATACAGCAAGCTTTTATTAAAATGTACAAGTTTGTTGTACATAAAAAATAAAATTAACAAAAAAAGGTATTTGTGCTCAAGATACGCCTGTGAATTGACAATTTCAGTCTGACTCAGACTATTACAAGTCAGAGTGCAGGGCGATGTTCATGTGATTAATCTTATAATTTGCATAACCTTCAAAAATGCATATCTACAGTTTCTTTCGGTATCCCTGTGTATCGTATCTAATATTTTCTCTCCCCTATCAAGATCTGTCAATAAATCAGCAATGCAGGATAAAATGAATAGTTGATAACTGACAACACGTACACAATAACATGTTGAATTGCACTCAGTAATATGTCATGGCAAGCACACTTTGAACCCCAACCTGCGTGCATAGGATTAACGTTCTGGCCAGCCACAGAGAAAATATATGGAATATTTACACTCAATTTACTTGGTCAAATTATTTGCATAAGCATGAGATTAGCACCAAATGTCTGTCCATGAGGGTTTGCATCCACAGTTCACACAGTCCAACATTACTGGAGACTATGGAGAATGTATAAAAAAAAAGACACAAACACACAAGGAAATAAGTGTCATGTAAATTTCAGACAACTTCATACATAGACGTTCTTCGGAAGAAAGCAATATTTGAGAACCTACATCAAAAAAGGACATCATTCTCAAATGTAAGAACGATAAGTTCAAAGATAACATTGAAGAATCAGGGTAGTGATCAACAAAAGGAACAAGAGAGGACACACTGACTGGAACTGAAGTAATCCTAAACTAAGGGTGTTAAGACAAAGATTTATAAAAAACAGACATGAATACGTCCCTGAGTAAACATGGAAAACAGTTTGTTAATTTGATTGTTTTATGTATATAATGTACCTTAAGTACTTATGGTAAGGTTGCAGCAATCAAATATCAGTTGTTGTCATGGTTAGCTGCCTATATGGTCGCTTTTAGTAATTACTAATTTTTCAAACATATAATTATATACTAGTTACTAAACAAATTTTATCATACGTTTTGGCTATTACTCTGCTTCTACCTTACGGGAAGTCCTGAGAAGGGCCAGGATTGAATCTTAACAACTTCCACCAAAATCACAATCCTTCTCAGGACTTACCTGAAGATGGCAGCCAAATAGAGCCAAAATGTAGGACAAAAAAGCAGTTAGTAATAAGTACCTAGTTATAAAAAAATGACTAATTTAGAATTAAACTTAAGGTAATTGTATAGGCTACTAAACATGACAATGATTGTATTGTACCTGTCACAGTACATTATAACAAGCTTGGGTGTCAATACTCCGCTGTGACTGAACCTTGAACCCTTTGACTTAGGGCAAATTTCCAAGATCAATATTTTATCTGAATGAAAAAAGTATTGGTGTATCACTTTTATAAATAACAAATAAGAATCTCTTCATGGAATGATGACAGACTTCTATGATGTGTCTATGATGAAAAATACTACCACCAAAGCAAGTTAAGTGAAATCTTCTACCCACCTCTACATAAAGCATCAAAAAAAGGAAAAATACAACACAAGTTTTGAAACTGCATGTTAATTAACAATAATACCAGATTGTTAGCAGGTGCTATTCAAATAAAGTTGAAATGCAAATCAAAAAACTAAACAAAAAACAGAGAAGTACTTGTGATAACTTAAAACACAAATGGCTCAAACCCACAAGGAACAAAAGTTCAGCACAGAAAAGTCAGTTAAATTACAGAAATCATCAGTATATTTCTACCAAGAACTGCTTTCTTACAAACTCTAACTTTAATTAGATCTCAAAAATGAATAACTTGAAGTGAAAAAAAGGAAAAATTCCCAGCATTATAAAGCCACAAGCAGCAATTACCAACTAAGCCTAGCCTCAAACAATTTGGTTACCGAAAATAACCTGGACATAATATATAAAAATTGAAAGACAATAAACCAAAAACATTTTTTCTGACAATCCAAAATACTCATTACAATTATGTAAACACATAATAACACAAAATATTAGTCTGCATAGTCACGTGGCAGACTGTGTGGAAGGCCCAAATTGATGCTGCTGCCCGACATTCACAAAAAAGTGGCTTCTTACAATTCTGTCCCATAGAAGTTAGTACAACCATTTCAATACAAATTTTCATGTAAGAGAGATTGCAGAAGGCTTTGTGTGTGTGTGTGTGTGTGTACGTGCTTGAAACATTTAACGATAGGGAAGTTACATATGTATAAATAATAATTTATCTAAAATAATACAGTTCCCCAGTTCTAAAAAACTTAGAATTACTTGTATAACAAAAATAATTACAAGTATCACTAGGCTAATGATAATCATGCAAAATTACAAAATCAGGAAATTTCAGAATACATGAAGTTAAAATACTCTCTTCATTTATTAAAAGTACTTTCTCTCTCTCTCCCTCACACACACATGTATATATATTATTGAATTATTTCTGCTATTACTTAAATACTCGGTATAAAAAAATATGTATATTAAGACTAATGTGGGTGCTTGAGCCAGTCTTAACATTCAAACACAACTATAAATGTGCATAGTAATACTAATATACCTACAAGTAAGAAAGAAATTAAATGCATTTGAGTTAAATAATTCATAATTGTTACAGTGTCAACTTTAGTTACCTTAAACTCTATATATCATATGCTAAACCAATAAATAATATAGTGATAAATTTAATTTTAATATTACGTGAAGCTTAACTGTCAATGTCATAATATTTTTTGTTAGATACAATAAACATTTTTTGTAATATCTTTGTATCCAAATAATACAAAAAGACAATACAAGAATCATATATTTAACAGCAATTAAAATAAATATAAAAAATGAAAGAAACAGTGCAAGTTATTCAGTTGTAGCGAATTACAATTTACAGAATGAACTTGAAGTGTTCGCAGTTTTTTTCCTCTTACGATTTTGTAACAAAAAGTAAAACACTTCTATTTTAAGTTAAATACTTGCATTTGATACTACGCCTAAATAAACCGTATGCTTTAACGAATACACTTACTTAAAGTAGAACTGAATGCACTCATAACAACGTAACCGCCTTCTCCTCTTCAACACAACCTTATTCGCTTGCATCCCAACACTCTTCTCATTAACCCATTTCGTTCTTTTCGATCATATGCTCGAATAGCAGCGCACTCTAGTAGCATTTTATCTTTAACACAGTTAAATTATTCCGATAAATGCACTACTCTGAGTGTGTTGCTACCAGAATTGTGAATTCGTCCTGTATATTTTTTAAGTGACTTTAACATTTTGAGAGTCGCAGGCTGCAGTTTTTTGAGCTTGTTTTATTCTGAACTCGCGTATTTGGACTTTAGTTGTAACAGCTAGCTTAAATACACAATAAAATATTTGTAGGAATGGTTTCGGTGATTCACTGGTTCAACGAATAACCTACACATTACAAATTTAGAATTATCCTATCTCCACTATTGTTCATTTCAAAATACACACCCACAATGGTTAGCTTTCTAGCGCGCCATCTTGACATATTCTATATTCCAATTAAGCCTCGCAAATCGTCATTTTGAGAATAGACAAAAAACAATAGTTTTGAAATTCAATTCTGTTTTTCTTAGGTTTTTTTTCGAAAGGCAGTTCCAGTACTTCTGGTTAAGAAAAAATTGGGAAGTTTAAAAAACGATAAGACTCCTGGGCCAAATAATATTTCCCCAAGGGTTTTGAAGAAGATTAAAGATTGGATATGTGAGCCACTTACTACTAATTTTTGTCAGTCCTTGAATAGTGGGCACCTTTAGGATTGGAAGTTAGCTAATGTAACTACTCTTTTCAAGAGAGGTGATAAAAAATGTCCCAGGAATTATAGATCCATTACTCTTACATCAGTTTGGGAAAAGTTTTGGAAAATGTGTTAAAAGATACTTTCCAAAGTCATTTAACAAAGTTTAGAATTTTATTGGATAATGAACATGGTTTCACTAAGGGAAAATATTGCCTTACAAATCTTTTGACATTCTTTGAAAAGGTTTCTGTTTATGTAGATGAGGGTAAGGGTGTAGATTTGGTGTATCTGGATTTTCAGAAAGCAGTTGACAAGGTTTCACATAAAAGGCTTGACAAAAATTAACTCTATAGGTGTGGGGGATAAGTTAGCAAATTGGATAGAAGAGTGGCTAGATGGAAGAAAGGAGAAGGTTGTTACAAATGGAGTT